ATGCCATAAGAAAAATACAGCTTTGCTGATTAACTCTTATAAATGTCCAGAAAGGAGAATTACAGAACAGCATTAGCTGCTAATGTACTGTTCACTGCCCAGTCTATGCATTCATGGAAGCTAAGCTGAAAAAACAGCCTGTATTGAATTCATTGTTCTTATTATGTAAAAAAGTTCGAACATCTGTTGTTCATTTTGAAAATAAGCTAAGAAATCCTCTACAGAGAACAAACGCTATTCTGCAAGTTTTACACCACAATTTCTATTTATTTCCTGATTTTGATCAGGAAAAAACATATTAAATATGCAATCAATTTCCCCAGTATGTCGAATTCAGCACATAAACAGTAATTGTTCATTAAAATGTGCAGAAGTCTGGTCTCTGTAGAGAATGTGATTTCTTTACACTTAGAACATCAACAAAACATGAAATTTGACTAAGGGTGGCCAAACTTTTGCATACAACTGTATATATCACTTATTTTTGAATCAGGCACAATACAGGTGAGCCAATCAGAACAGAGCTGATTTACCTGTATTAGTCTTAAAGGCACAGTAACAAAAACAGTCTGCTTAATTCTAAGGAATAAAGAGAGGTTGGTGTAAAAATGATTGTATAAAAATGAATTATGACCATTGTGGTTCATAAAACCACACAAGTACCATAAGTGGACTCCAGGGAAAAAAATGAAAATGCAAGAAACATGTAGGCTACGGGGTCTAAAACAGACAATCAGTAAACGCACTAAGCCCAAGTCCTCATCTTTAGAAACGTCTCTCTTTCCCTTCCACTCACTGGTCACTTAATGAGTTCCACCAACCTTAAAGGTCAACTGTATATTTGTACAAACACAGACTATAGTCCATCTCTTACAGCACATTCTGTCAGTCCCCTGGTCAGTTTCTGACCACAGGCCCACTGCTGACCAGATTTTATTTGGGTTCTAAACACAGCAGTAACACTGACATGTTATTGTGTGTGGCACAGGCATGTCAGTGTGTCTGCTAGGTTAAGAGGGGCCCACCACACACACAAAACACCACACCACCAAAAACACAAACTGTGCATCAACAGATGAGCTACAGTCTCTAACTGTACACCAGCAAAGTGGAGCTACAAGGTAGGGACTTTTAAAAAAAATGACCAATTAGTGTACATGACCAGCTGGAACACAGTAATTTGAAAACATATGAATAATTCAGAAGTTAGCCCAGCAACTTTATGTGCACTGGTTATACAAACTCAGAGATTTGTGTTCTTTATCATGCTTCCACTAAATGAGTCTCAGTTCACTTTTACACAGGGAACTGAAACCTTATGTCCTTAAGTCAACGACAAAGAGTACCTTTCTTATGCCTGTTACCAAATCAGTGTGACCGTTCTATCACTTTCAGATGTTCTTTCAAAGGTTTTTCAGTTCTGTTCCCCCTCATCTGCCACACTGCTGATTTGTAGGTTAACCATGCCCTCTCCAAATGCTGGGTGTGAGCTCGTTGCAGGATCCACAAACCATCTTGAATGATTTACTGTGAAGTGTCTGTAGCCCAAATGGCTGAGAACACCCCTATATGCCCTCCATTCGTCACTGATGATGACACTCGCAGTGCGCTCATGCTTCACTGGGATTTTGGGTTCAAGTTAACATTTTGACTGGGCACCTAAGAAGACAGACAGTCCACTTAAAATTCTCTGTAGAGAACAGAATTCATGGATCCTTCAATAATAGCAGGTTCTCCAGGTCCCAATGCAGTGAAACATCCCCACACTGACCCACTACCACCACCAAGCGTGACTGTTGGGGTGGTGTTCTTGCTGTAAAATGCAGGATTAGTTTCAAGCCATTCATTCATTCTTGTTATCCAGAAGGTCACACTTCAGACTGGTCTGTCCACAGAACATTCTCCCAGAAGGCTTAGAGACTGTCCAGGTGCTTTTGTTTGTAATTGTGAATCAAGCATTTATGTTTCTTTTGGTTACCAGTGTTTTCTGCACTGCTGCCCTCAAATGAATGCCACTGTCGCTGCTGGGTCATGAACACAGCTGAGGCCAGAGAGACCTCATTCTGTGAATGTTCTCCTGGAACATTTGGAGACTTCTTGGATGATCTGCTGCGGTGCCTTTGAGGAAATTCTGGCTGGCCAGTTACTCAAGTGAAGATTCATCAATGTTCTTTGGGTTTTCGTTTTTGGCGCAATTTTCTAGATTTTCTAGAACCTTAGAAATGTTTTGAACCCTTTTCTGGATGTTCTTTTGATCATGGCCTAGTGCTTATGGTGATACCATAACTCTGATGGTGAACTTCAATATGAGTGAGTTTCACATTCAGCAGGGCTGATTAAGGGAACAGTTACTTTTTCACATGGATGGTTTGAATGTTAGATAACTGAGCTCTGTAAATAAAGTTAATTATAATGTAATAAATGTGAAACTGTAACATTTTCAAACTACCCAGTCCACATTACAAACACTAGCTGCAAAATTAGCCCATTTTAAAATCATTATTCTTGCGGAAAAATAACATACATATATCTAGATATGATATATATATGTATATATATATATATATATATATATATATATATATATATATATATATATATATATATATATATCTGTTTATTCAGTATACAGCAGTTTAGTCCCTGCTTTTTGAATGAGATACAATATAGAGCTGCCAGTCAGAGCAAAGGTAGTTTACCTTTATCTAAAAGGCTCAGTAACAAAACCAACCGGTTTAATTTACCTGATCAAAAGAGGAAAATGGTCATGTAAAAATGAATTATGACTGTTTTTGGTACAGACATCCACTCAAATATCATAAGTGGATTTCAGGGAAGAATAAAACATGTAGGATTTGCTTCTTTTAAATCCTGTATTGATACAGACCTTTTGTTTTTGTCGGAAGTTGCTTTCGTCAATGGCCACAAACTCCCTTTCCTCCCCAAGGCGCTGTACTGTCCTTTCATAGTGCCTCACAGCACGTGTGCACACTTTTCTTACACATGAGGCATCTTTGACAGTGTTCTTGAACTTTCTGCTATACCTTCTGTCTTCATATCACCCTGCCTCATACGTAAGCCTTGCGCAAACCTGTAGAGCAAATGGACAGAACAAATCAACACTTCCTAAAATACTCAAGCAGAGCACAGTGTGAACTTCTAGGACTGTTTCTCAGAATATAAATTAGGTTACCTATAGAAAAACTTCATCCATGAGAATAAGCTGCATCTCGAGCCTCAAAGATGGAGCCAGATCTGATAGTCTTGGTTATTTTATATTAAATCTGCCAACAGCTTCATTTTTTGCATCCATTTGATCAGTCTTGCTGTCGCGCGGAAAATGGAGCGCTGTGATTGGCCATCCACATTCGATGGTAATTAGACATGACTGTGAATATCATAAATCTGTTAAACACAGTTCGTGTGTTTGGAATAACACCTACTGTGACAACAGTAACCAGCTGGGACAATACTAAGGAAATCCAGGACCCACCTGAGCTCCACCTTAGAGTCACCGCGCAAAGACGGCTCCGCGATCTTCCTGCAGGCATTACGGCTCTTCCAGTTTCCAAGAGCGCCATAGTGTTGGATGAAGAGGCTGCGCTGAAGTGCGTAGAGGCAACATGAATCAAGCGCCAAGTACACGAAGTCTGCGAACAAAGCTTAAAACACCAGCCGTGTGCGATTCTACTATATGTGGAGTTTTCCAAATATATATGTTTGTTACGTCTTATTGTGTTTTGGGTTTGTCTATTGTTTGTGTAGCAAACGTTAGCTAGCATACTTTAATGCTGCACTTTTCAGAATTAGCTAGCTAGCTTAGTAGTTAGTGTTAGCTTGGTAAGCAGGTAAAAGCCATTGAAAAAAGAGGCTGTCCAGTAATATAAAAGCAAATTAGCTAGTTAGACATTCTGGGACACCTCAACGTTATATAATCATAAACGGTTACTACACAAAAATGAACGCACAGCCTTTTATCACCACCTCAGTTCATATGAATGTGCTGCAATGATCAGACAATGATGTGTCTGTAAACCCCAGATTTGTCTGTGAGGAAGAGGGTCACTGCAGACAAAAGCAAACTACAGGCAAACGACAGAGACAGTGATTTAATTTTGTTCACTGTTTTGTATTTTGTTACATTCAATAGTGCTAAAACACTTCTCTTAATAGTATCTGCTGTAGATAACAGTGTTTTTATGATGGTTATTTTTGTCTGTTTTTGTTTCTGCAGCATTTCAACCCCATGACCAACCAGCTACCTCTCAGGGGGAAAAGCTACAGACAGAGCTAAGCTGTGTGTTTATATTGTGCGTTCTTTCGATTTTGCTAGGAAGTACATTTTATGAATCTACAGGTAAATGAACTGTCTTCCGTGATCAGTGTTGTTAATAGCGTCTATGCGGACCACAGATTCGTCTGTGTTTTTGTTTTTTACAGTTTTGTATAAAATGGAAAGACTTTTAAAGCGTTTAATAGAAAAGTTCAACAATATTGACAAACACTATTTTAGATAATGGGCTAGATTAGTAAAACTCAGCAGTGACCAGTGTAACCATATTACGCCACGCTGCGCAGAATGTGTGGCCTGGTAAATAAGTCCTATTCATAAAGTCACCAAGAGGCAGGTGTGGGTTTGTCAGTGGCTGCTGTGTGCAGAAGACTTTATAAACAGAAATACAGAGGCTGCACTGCTCGGTGCTGATTCTTCTGCTGTCGGCTGTTGAGGCCTTAATGGTTACAAAGCTCTCTGATTCTCTTTCTTCTTAATAAAGTTCTACACGGTCAGGTTTGGTGAGCCTCAGGATTGGTTGGAGTCTCTTACTGCTTTATTCTCGTCTCTCAGCCTTATAATGATTTCCTTACCTTTCTTTTTCACAGCTGTGGTCCTCATATTGATCAACAGCAAAAGCAGATTCCACAGGTGACCCAGGTTGTAAAAGCCTAAATAAAAACCTGAATAAAACACAGTTTATTAATAAGAGTTAAGCTACAGAACATTAGAACCATGAATAACTCATTCTTCATTCTAAAAGAAGAGAACTAAGAGTAACAACTGTAAAATATTTAGTTATAAGTACTTCTGAGTCAGAACCAAACTCAGTCTATATGAAATGAGCTGAGAAAATAAAATAAAATAAATAAGGACACAAATATTAAAAAAATAAACTTTATTGAGTTCATACATCTCCTTTTCACTGATTTGTGGAGATATTTTACATTATTGATCCAGCCAGCCAATAAGGTGACTGGTTATGTTAACCTGAGGGTAAAGTACTGCTGGACTAAGTGCCGAACTTCCTTTTGGGTCCAGCCAGCAGCCAAAGCAGCGGGTCTCCCTGCAACAGAACCGAGATAAGAGCATTTATTTTGTTATTGATATGTTTCTTTATTAACCTTTTTCTTTTTTTATTAATTTATTTCCATAACTATTCATTTCTACATTTATTTATCTCTCTATTTATTTCAGTATTTCCTTGTCCTTATGCTAATAAAGGGGCTGTCAGTCAATGATGTCACAGCGTCTTAATATTCCTATCAGTTGATCGATGTCAGACTCTGTAGATCGACTGTTCATGTCTTGCTCTCTCAGCGGTAACTAAGGACCAGACAGTACAGTAACGGCTTCTTACAGCAGCAGACAGTCAGAGATCTGAGAGTCTCGGCTGATGTGGCTGAAAATGCAGGTCTGGGTTGTTTACTGGTTCGTGTGGAGGCTGTGGGGACAGTCTGCTCCATTTAGCTGCCTCTGCTGATTCAGATGTCGACCCCATAGTGTTCAGAGCTTTAGAGGAGGCGAATAATCGGCTTTTTCTGCAGAATTCAGATCAAACTCAGACATTCGGACGCCCTTCTCACATCCGGCCTGTGGAGCCATCGAGAGTTACTCATCAGCAGGTCTGTCTGTTCGTGACGTTGCAGGTCTTTATGGAGTGAAAGAACAGTTTACCGGCGAATGGCAGAGCACGGTCTGAGGTACAGTGCATGGTCTGAGGTACGTGTGCATGCAAAGTGTGCTAACAGTCTATATGCATGCTCAGCTTTTAAAAACATGCTAACCTAACTGTTGGGAGGAGTGCAAAATTCTTGCATAGTAAGCCTGATGAAGTTCTTTTGTTATCTGACAACACAACTTAATTCTTATTTTAAGGGTCTCTGACATGTTTACCAACACTGATAATGAAGAGCTGGATGCAAAAGTATGCGAGATCCTCAGTTGTCATCCAAATACAGGATATAAAATGATGGCTGGCATCTCAACGCTCGAGGCATTCGGATACAAAGTGAGTGTTTCTTTGCAGGCATTAAAGTAATGATGACAGTCTGCTTGTGCAAGTGTAACAGGTTATATATGACGTAAAATACATTTAAAACTAATATTTATATGCTATTAAGAGTAATGGGACAATGTATGGAGCGATAGCAGTTTCAGCTTCCCCGTAGTCTCATGAGGAAGACGGAGTTGCCATGATACCACTTTTTTATTTTTTAAAACAGATACCGAGATCGAGTCCTTCGTTCTGATATTTTTTTTCTTCAAAATCTACTAAGCTGTTAAATGATCTAATTTTTAATTGATTCATTTAACTTAATATGAAAGTGTAAAAGTAGTCTATGATGCTGTAACGACACAGCTAAAATCACATCACACAGTGTGACTGACCGTTTCAGGGTAGATTTTATACAAAGTTGGATCCAGTTTATTAATTTCCCACTTATAGCCCATCCAGCATTTTCTACTGATATCAAGCTAAAACCAATACCTGGTATCGTATCAGTGGCATCTCTAGATGAAGGCTATTTTTGGTTTGTGCAGTAGACATATAATAATGACCTTTAGAATCTTAATTTATAGGAAAAAAAGCATTTAACTGAAATCTGTACATTTACTTTTATGAAGGACGTCGCGTTCAAGAAGCTGTGTGCCGTGAAGATCCAGAAGGAAGTGAAACGCGTGCTCTTCAGCTGCAGACGGTGCGCCGCAGAAGGTATTCTGTGCCTGCTCCTAACAGTTTGTGGCATATAGATGGCAACCATAAACTTATTCGGTAAGGATGTGCTTATATGAACACTGTTTTAAATACATCATACAGTTCATACAGTGTAAAATCATACAGTTCTTTTTGCATGTATGGTTTTATTTGTGCCAGGGCTGCCCATATCTGTTCTTAGTGAGGCAACATAGACAGTTTAGTTCCATCACTTCTGGTTCTAATTCTCAGAAGCTCCTGAAGGTCTTGATTAAAAAATTCCCTTGTGTGGTAAATCACAAGGACTGGACCTGGGCAGCCTTGGTTTATACTGAACATACAGTCGCACACGGAGTGTAGAGCATTAGAGACATTATGTATATGGAAATTAAATGTATCTTTCTTATGACTTCATGAGGAGGCGTGTTCATTGTTAATCACTTTGTTATATTTAATTACCAAATTCTTTCCATCATCTAAAACATTGGTGGAAGTTTATATGCTGTACTGTAAAAACATAAAATACATTCTTTAGTTTATTAAGTTTAATAAAATAGAATTAGGAATTCATGTGTGTTTATAGTATGTTTCAGATAACAGAGTAGTGTCTACTAGTAAGTAGTTTCATTTCTGTAATATGTTACGATTTTCAATTTCTTAAATTACAGATGGGGAATAGTAGTTCATGGTGGCATTGACGGCTTTAGTCGTCTAATTGTGTACCTTAATGCTGCCACCAACAACCGGGCCTCAACAGTCACAGGCAGCTTCCCTGAAGTGGTCAATACCTATGGAGTGCCTTCACGTGTCAGGTCTGACAAAGGAGGAGAAAATGTTCAGGCTGCACATTTCATGGTGTCCACTAGAGGCCTAAATAGGAATTCCCACATCACTGGGAGAAGCACACACAATCAGAGGAACCATTCTGTAAAGACTTTGTGTTCACATTCATTTTCAAACAGACTTTGGTAGAGTCCAACTAAAACGCTTTTTCTTTGGGTTTAGTCAACTACATTTTTTCATGCTTTCTCACTCTACCTAGGATAGACAGATCGTGGAGAGATGCCTTTGGGGGAGTTTTAGGTCTCTTCTACACCATTTTCTGCAACCTGGAGAGGGAGGGCCTACTCAGCCCAGATGAAGAGACCACATCTACGCACTGCACTGGACCTTTCTTCCACATATTCAGAGGCATTTGCAGTTCTTCAAGGATGGCTGGAACCACCATAGATTGCGCACAGAGGAGAACCAGTCACCACTTCAACTATGGATGCAGAACCAACTTGAGGGGCATCAAGACCCTCCCCAGGTATGTTTGAAACAAGGCTAGAAGTAAACCTTTATCTATAGATAGCCAAACAATTTTGTACAAGCTAAGGAATTTAGGATTAATACTAATTTTTTCATGTATTAAGTAGTTCATCAAATAACAATGATGTACTTTACCACACATTCTTACATTATTAGTGATATGTTCAATGACTGGTTACAGTTTATGCATTTTCAAGCATGCCCTTATGCTGGCCATAATGAATTACACACGTACCAAAACATGCTTGTTCTTTCTGTGCTTCTTTTTTTGGTCCTCCTTAAATATACACTTTGAAAAAAGGCAAATAATGTGCTGCTCAAATTTTAATGTTCAATATAATTCTAGGTTGATCCTGAGTATGGGATTGACTGGGAAGGTCCACATGGATACCACCACGAAGGAGTCACAGTTCCTGAGGTTCAGCTTCCCCGGCCACTATCTGAAGTGGAAGTGCAGAGACGGCCAAATCCACGAGGTCCTTTTTCCAATGTATTAAATCTGTACTGTGAGACAGTTGTGGTGTTAACAGATATACTTTCAGATGTTTAAAGGACAGACATCTGCTGACATGTTTGGGTTTTGGATGTTATTCTAATATTATTTGATATCCATAGCACACAACCTTGTGAGATGGTAATTATTAAGCAGAGCCAGCACTAAAAACATATGAGCACTGTTTTTTCTCTGAGTTTGCTGTGATGCCTATATAGCAAATATGTGCAGGCATCCTATCGTTATGATGTTATCATTTTGTTTACCTAGAATTGTAGCATACCCTGTTGAAGGGTCATAATTGTTGAGGTCATTGCCTTTGCAATTAATAACCATTCATTAATTCTTATTTAGCTTGTGCTTCCACTAACTGGCCACTTTACAAGAAATACTTACCTTGTTCTTCCACTCACTGACCACTTTATTAGAAACACCTATGTTGTACTTCCACTAACTGGCCACTTTATTAGAAACAACAGCTTAGCCACCATTCATCATTGGTCAGTTACTAATCATTGTTGATCTGATATGTTTTGAGTGGTGGACCAGCAGGAACACTGAAATGGTACAGCAACACTGCTGGAGCCAAGAGCATCGTCACATCCAAATATATCCAGGCAACAGCAAACTCAGGAAACGACCAGTGATGAAGCTAGAAATGATCAACACAGATGTGCATGGAATATATGTGGTGCAATTTTTAACTATACCAGCAGGAAATGTCTTATACATGTTTCAGATAAAGTGGCCAGTGAGTGTTTGTACCCCTGCTATTCACAAAAGCACACATGCTGGCCAAATGTTTGTGCTGTAATTCTAAGTTTAAATTTTTGGTCCAAAGCTACATTTTGCATGCAACAAATACCTTTTTTTTAAATTGGTCAGATGAGTAAGGTGGTCTCATCATGTGTGATGGGGGCATAAAACTGGGTATGATATAAAACTCCAGTTAGGAGTCCAGCATAGTTGGCCGATTCCTCTGCTCAAACACACCCCATTCAACTCAGCAGTGATTCCCAGAGTTAGTTGTTGGGTCAGAGCAGAGAAATCAACAAACTGCGCTGGACTCCAGCCCTCAGTTCTCTAACCCAATTCAGTGTAACAACACTTCCTTACTATCGTGGTGTTTTCTCCTCTCAGGGTCCTCATATGTAGTGTTATTGGTTGGTTTTCTGCAATCATAACTTCGTTGACACCTACTGTGACTCCAGGCTTTGACATTTAGGTAGTTTATGTTTATGTATGTTATTACTTTAATAAAATTAAATGTTTAAAACACTTTTTTGTAAATTAAACCTTTTTATTGAACATTGTTCTAATTGAACAGTTAACAGTAATGCATGTATGAAATCTCACCAATTTTATTAAACAAAGAAATGCAAATAAAGCTTTTCAACAAAAAAAGTGTTAATGTTGTCTTTGGCTCAAATCTGACCGAATCCAGAGGAGGAGGAGGAGATGCTCGCTATCAGGTCTCGGTGGAAATCTTCATAATTTGCAGTATTTTTCGAAAGCTTTAGAGTTAAAAAGCCTGTTGATGATTGGGGAAGGTCACAATCAACAACTTCCACCTCCAGTGATGGAGGAAGGACATCCCAGCCAGTCCAGAATGACAGCAAACTCTTCAAGACCTCAGAGGACCCTGAAAAAGACCCCCCCAAAACAGTATCAGCAACTGTTGTCATATTCTATCATATATATAAATCTTAGAAATTAAGTTATTATAACATCAAATGTGGCAAAATACCAGTTTCTATAAACTTCTGGAAAAAGCCCAGAACACGGCACTGGTCCTCCAGCGTAAGGATGTCTTTGTCATCATCTTCCTCCCGTGGCCAGATAATCTCATCCAGAATCATCTAAGAATGAGCGTTCTTAGCTCTTAGACTTAGAGGCAGTAGCTTTACTGCTTTTTTAAGGCTGAACTTTATCATAGATGGGCAACTCTGCTGTTATTTGTTTGACTTACTTGAGATGTTATCTCTGCCTCAGTGGCCCTTGGGAATAAGATTGGCACAGTGTCTGGTCCAGAGCTGAAAAGCTCCAAAACACCAGTGTCTTTCAGGCCTCTCTTAATTTGCTTCACTTGCTTGGTAGTTCTTCCAAGAACCCTGTAAATGTATTACAAAATGTTTGACAAGTTTCTGAAACTTCAGAAAGTAATATGCACAAACTAAACAAAACATAACATAACATAACATAACATAACATAACATAACATTACATAACATAACATAACATAACATAAAATAACATAACATAACATAACATAATATAACATAACATAACATAATATAACATAACATAACATAAGACAACATAACTGCCATTTCTTTAGGGTTGTTTGAAAAAGGGCTTTATACAGTACTGTAAGTGTAAAATCCAATGATATCAGAAAACACAGTATTTGTTTTGTATCAACAGGAAGAAAATAAATAAAAATATTTTAAACGTGTGAAACTCATTGACTACATGTCCAGCATTTCTTTTAAATCATCATTATTAGAGGACTCTTGGTGGAAATCAAAGCTTGAACAAGGTTGTGTATGTTCAGAATTCTTTCCCAGCAGGGTGTCTAGAGCTGCATCATGTCACACCTGCAGTCTTTACAGCATAAATACACATCTGGGTCATAAACAATGTCTTGTTTTCATTTCATGTCCTTTCATTATTTCAAGAACACCATTAAACATTTTAACATTCATTACTGCATATTTGATTTTATGCAAACTAACATAAACCCAAATGTCATTTTCTATCTCGGAGGAAGACGTTTAACTTTCCTGCAGAATAACCCTCAAATCCAGAGGCAGAGTCAGGCTGAACTTCACAAGTATTAAACTTAAAGAATAAAATAAAATCTTACGGCATGGAGAAGAATTTTCTCCCTAAGCCACCACCTGTTTTCTGACGTAACACCAGGCAAGTCCCAGGGCAGCTCACAGAGAGGACCATGGATTTCTGGTCCTCAGAAAGTTCCTGGGTTCCTTCCAACTGATTAAAGACATCAGAGGGTTCGATGAAAACTGAGAGTTTGCAAAAAGGTTCAAATGCAAACAAATTTACAAGATCAGAACAGACATTACAAATAATGTGTCTTTTGAAGAAAGTAAACATATTTAAAAATGGCTTTGGTAAATAAACTAACATTAAAAATATTTTTTCCAAACCAGGTGGATGACATCCCGAACATCCTGGTCCACGCAGTCAGATACGCTAATTGCTGCCGTCTCTTGCTCGCCTCCAAAGAGTACATGCACTATGGCAGGGCTCAACCCAGCAAGACGTGGGCCATCATTT